AAATGAGAGGAGATAGGACCAGCAGGTGATGTAGTGGTCAAGGTGCTGGACTTCGACATGGCCAACTACAGATCGAGTCCCAGACTCGACGGCTTGAAACTCATACCAGGCACATGTGCATGTGTGTCAAAAAGAGATTGCAGCGTGGTCATCCCTTCTGGAGGGTGATTTCTCATTTTCTGTCTCTCCGTCTCTTCAGCACATGCCCTATAGGAAAAGTCTCTCTCTCTCTCTCTCTAAAGAAAGAAAGAAAGAAAAGAAAAGAAAAAGAGAAATAAAAAAACGAGAGGACAAGGATCAACTGTACCTCAGGTGATCAAATTGGGGATTTTCAATGTCAACATTAGTACTGTTTAAGAGAGATTTTTCCCACTGCAAATACTACTGTTAAGGTTAAGATAGGTTATGAACCCCACTCACTCACAGATGAAAGAATCAGTGAGGTCACGTTCCCAAGAATGCAGTGCAAGGTAGACACAGACACTGCAGAGAAGCCCTCTCCTGACTCACTGCAGCCTCTCAGCACCACTGGTCACTCAGACCCAGAGCCTCTGAGTCACCTCTGTGTATTCTACCTTCACAGCAACTCGAGAGTCCGTTTCCTGCCTTGGCTCCCCAGCACCATTGCCCTGTGCCAGGGCTTCGTAACCTCTCACCTGGATCATTTGCAACCACGTCCAATCTGGTCCTTAGCCAAGTCTCCTTCTCTTTAATCTGTCCCAATCACCACCCTGAGAGATTAATCTGACCAACACACAACTCCTGTGAAAATGCCTCTGTAGGGAACTCTTAAACACTTCTCATTGCCTAATTTATTAAGTGTTAAAAACTCTTTAGCCCTGTGTCAAAAACCTAAAAACAGACAATCTCTTTAGCCCTGTACTCAGGATCAGCTAATGCATCGGCAGCGTGCCCTGCACACCAGCTCAAACCATCTTGTGCTCTGAGGTGCCGTTCACTTGTGCTGCCATCTCTGCTTCTGTGCCTGCCCCTGAAAAGCCCCATCTATATGCACCCAACTGTATGTCCATCCATCTCTGTTCCTCAGTGCGTCCGTTCACATGCTCCCTTGACCAAGGGCGCTTCTGATTCCTCCTCCTGCCACGTTCTATAACTCCTTTTCCTGTTTTCTGTACCATAGCTCTGAATATGTATGACTTATCTCTACTGTTCACTGAGTTCCTCAAGGACAGTGACCTGGGTCTTGTTCATCTTTCAATCTTCAGCGCCCTGCACAATGAAGACACATGATAAATAGTCGAAGGATAGTTTTTGAAGAAATGAATTTTTTTCTGTAGGAGCAGGCTCTTCTCTGATGTATATTATTTAGTTCAAGTGCTTTTCCTACCCTAAAATGTCCTTATTCCCCTGGAGTAGAAACATCACTTTTCCTAGAACAAATTTCACATATGCACTCAGACCTCCATAACCCACAGATATCTGCCTGGGCTAGGTGAACTGGATTAACTCGGTAATAGAAAAAACTTTCTCCAGTTCCATTTTTACTGTAATTGCTAAATAGATGTTAAAAGGAATAAGAGGATTCTCCAAAGATCCCTGAGATGTTTATGAATACATGTAGTGTATTATTCATTAATAGGGCTTATTAGATTCTCAAAAAGCTTTCAGTGCACACAACACTAAGGCCACACATAACCAGTCACACCAACCTACCCCATGATGGTAATTAAATGCACACCATGGGTTCTGTTAACAAAATCTGCTGATTATTCAAGGTTTTACAATCAAAGAGACATAAGATGCAAATTCATCATATCAAAACAGACATGGATTTCTTTTTCATTTTTGATCAGGTTTAAAATTTTTAAATAATAGCTACTAGTAAAGAAGTTGTTTCACAAAATCCTGGGAAGTGTCAGAATCAATGCTTATGGCTCAAGAACAGATAAAAACATATAAGAAGTGACCAGAGAAAACAATCATTTTAAAAGCTATTTTGAGGGCTGACTCTGTGGCACTGCAGGCACATGCTGCTCAACTGGTGTGGAATCCATATGGAAGACTGTGGGTTCTGTGCCCCAGTTGACCTGTACACACCAGGCACATGTGCTCATGATCCTAGCTGGCTGGGAAGGCTGCATGCATGGGGATCACGGTGCAGGACCCTGTTGAGGCTACTTGTCTTTCTCTTTGTCTCTTATTCTTGCGAAAGAAAGAAACCTTTTAAAATATCACCTTAGAAGTATAGGCAAACACAAAGGGGTGTGGGCATTTCAGGAGCAGATAAAACGCAGAGGTGGAAGGCCTCCATTTTCAGTCCACTTGTCAGGGACAGCTGATATCTGTCCCCTAGTGTATAGCAAAATGAAATAGGGGTTCTGATATCCCAAGTCCCAGTTACCACCTCATGACAAGTTACTGGTTATTGTTGCTAACTTCAATTTTTTTTTGGAGAGGTTTTTGCTATAGGGCACGTGCGCTCGCCAGAAAGACAGAGACAGAGAGACAGAAAGCGAGAAGTCACCCCCCAGGAGGGATGGCCACACCGCAATCCCTTCTCATCCATTCTCCTCTTGGGATCCTGGGCACGCACGCACACGCACCTGGTGTGAGTTTAAGCCACTGGGTCCGGGACTCAAACCGCGGTCAGCTACATGGGAGTTCAGTGACATAGCCATTATGCCAACTGCTGGTCCCCTAACTTCAATTTTTAAGGAATGTCAAATTTTCTTTGTGTTTTGGGGTGTCTGGAAGGATAATGGAGTACAAGATAAAAGGGGTTATGTTAGGGAGGAGGGAAAGCAATATGGAAAAAGGAAAGAGCACACTAGACTTCTGTTATATATCTTTTTCTTTTTAAATAATTGAATCATCAACTAACACTTGAGAAAAATTTTCAAGATCTTTCTATTAAAAGGATTAAAATCAGCTTTTAAATTGACATTTTTCCCAGATCGCAACCCCAACAGAGATAAAATATTAACATAAAGAAAGTCTTTTCTGGGCTGGCCTTGTAGGCTAGTGGTTAAGGGAGCCAAATTCCACGTTACAGACCCTGGTTTGAATCCTGGCTGGTCTCGGAGGCTTGAAAAACACACCAGGCACTTGTGCGCATGTGCCCCAAATCCTGACAGGGTGGAGAAATGAAGGGGAAGGGATTATCAGGGGATGTGTCCTCTCTCCCTTTCTCTCTCTCCCTTTGTTTCTCTCCAGTGAGTGTGGGGGCTCTCTGGCAAATTTTTAAAAGTCTTTTGAAGTCAGAATAATGATTTTCAAGACATGTTTTGTTTCCACCTAAGAAAGTGCTATCATGCTACTTTTTGTAACTTGCTTCCTAGACTCCCAAGACAGAAACGGTATTTGTTATACAAACTCTTGGCTACACTCCACTCTAGCCTGAGGACCCGTCACCAAGTTCTTATTGAGTGCTCACAGAGGGCACGGCTCAGTGACTGGGCACGCACACCGGCATCTGTTGTTGACAACTGTCAGGTTCAGCCTCCTTCTCCTCACCACCCCCGTCTAAATGGGGTTTGTAATCCTCCTTCCCACCCACTCTCTTCACTCCCTGGGGCAAGAATGTTGACTCCTGCTCTCTGTCACCTGTCAGGATCCATCCTCCTGTCACCGGCTTATATGGACAAGTCGGCCCACCGACACGTGATCCCAGGCTGCTAAAAACAGCCCCGGCACCCATTCCCAACCAGGGCCTGAAACAATGTCCTCCACCGAGAGAAATGTAAAGGACACTTGATCACACAATCCTTGGAATTATTTCCCGGAAACACTCGCAGAAGCCATTCGGAACACCCTTTCCCTGGCAGCGCGCTTGGGGACGGCCAGGAGATGAGTGCATCCCTGAATTACAAGTCTTTTTCCAAAGAGCAGCAGACTATGGATAACTTGGAGAAGCAACTCATCTGTCCCATCTGCTTGGAGATGTTCACAAAACCCGTGGTCATTCTTCCCTGCCAGCATAATCTGTGCAGGAAATGCGCCAGTGATATTTTCCAGGTAGGTCCGTCTGGAACTCGGGGAGTGGGCAAGCATCCCTCCTCTCCAAATAAGTGTTTCACACTGAGGTGAATTCCTTTAGAAAACGTTTTAAGGCTACCTTTATTTTTAAGATGAACTATTTAAATGATTTGCTTTGTTCTTTGCGGTCTGTTTCCTTCTTATTCCCAAATCTCGTTTTATTTTAAAACTAAGAATGGTATTTGTTTCAAAAGAAACCAAACCATCCCTTCTCATCCATTCTCCTCTTGGGATCCTGGGCACGCACGCACACGCACCTGGTGTGAGTTTAAGCCACTGGGTCCGGGACTCAAACCGCGGTCAGCTACATGGGAGTTCAGTGACATAGCCATTATGCCAACTGCTGGTCCCCTAACTTCAATTTTTAAGGAATGTCAAATTTTCTTTGTGTTTTGGGGTGTCTGGAAGGATAATGGAGTACAAGATAAAAGGGGTTATGTTAGGGAGGAGGGAAAGCAATATGGAAAAAGGAAAGAGCACACTAGACTTCTGTTATATATCTTTTTCTTTTTAAATAATTGAATCATCAACTAACACTTGAGAAAAATTTTCAAGATCTTTCTATTAAAAGGATTAAAATCAGCTTTTAAATTGACATTTTTCCCAGATCGCAACCCCAACAGAGATAAAATATTAACATAAAGAAAGTCTTTTCTGGGCTGGCCTTGTAGGCTAGTGGTTAAGGGAGCCAAATTCCACGTTACAGACCCTGGTTTGAATCCTGGCTGGTCTCGGAGGCTTGAAAAACACACCAGGCACTTGTGCGCATGTGCCCCAAATCCTGACAGGGTGGAGAAATGAAGGGGAAGGGATTATCAGGGGATGTGTCCTCTCTCCCTTTCTCTCTCTCCCTTTGTTTCTCTCCAGTGAGTGTGGGGGCTCTCTGGCAAATTTTTTAAAGTCTTTTGAAGTCAGAATAATGATTTTCAAGACATGTTTTGTTTCCACCTAAGAAAGTGCTATCATGCTACTTTTTGTAACTTGCTTCCTAGACTCCCAAGACAGAAACGGTATTTGTTATACAAACTCTTGGCTACACTCCACTCTAGCCTGAGGACCCGTCACCAAGTTCTTATTGAGTGCTCACAGAGGGCACGGCTCAGTGACTGGGCACGCACACCGGCATCTGTTGTTGACAACTGTCAGGTTCAGCCTCCTTCTCCTCACCACCCCCGTCTAAATGGGGTTTGTAATCCTCCTTCCCACCCACTCTCTTCACTCCCTGGGGCAAGAATGTTGACTCCTGCTCTCTGTCACCTGTCAGGATCCATCCTCCTGTCACCGGCTTATATGGACAAGTCGGCCCACCGACACGTGATCCCAGGCTGCTAAAAACAGCCCCGGCACCCATTCCCAACCAGGGCCTGAAACAATGTCCTCCACCGAGAGAAATGTAAAGGACACTTGATCACACAATCCTTGGAATTATTTCCCGGAAACACTCGCAGAAGCCATTCGGAACACCCTTTCCCTGGCAGCGCGCTTGGGGACGGCCAGGAGATGAGTGCATCCCTGAATTACAAGTCTTTTTCCAAAGAGCAGCAGACTATGGATAACTTGGAGAAGCAACTCATCTGTCCCATCTGCTTGGAGATGTTCACAAAACCCGTGGTCATTCTTCCCTGCCAGCATAATCTGTGCAGGAAATGCGCCAGTGATATTTTCCAGGTAGGTCCGTCTGGAACTCGGGGAGTGGGCAAGCATCCCTCCTCTCCAAATAAGTGTTTCACACTGAGGTGAATTCCTTTAGAAAACGTTTTAAGGCTACCTTTATTTTTAAGATGAACTATTTAAATGATTTGCTTTGTTCTTTGCGGTCTGTTTCCTTCTTATTCCCAAATCTCGTTTTATTTTAAAACTAAGAATGGTATTTGTTTCAAAAGAAACCAAACCATTGAGTCTGTTTCAAAGTTATAAATGTGTTACTGCGCACGACATTCATGTTGGAGTTTCTTGTTTGTGGTTTTGGCTATGAAATCATTGAACGGAAAAGCCCCTCCTGTGACAATGGTACCTGGCAGGTGACTGAAAATAAGGGCTGGCCGTGTGTTTCATGTCCACCTGCTGATAAGGCCCTGAGGGATTATCTCTTGACGAGGTTAAAGTAGACCTTCCTGTTGGTAGCAGCAGAGAGTGAAATGAAGTCTCAGAAAAGCAACCTGTCGTGTTACTCAATTCCTCTTTTTCTGCTTGGCAAGAACAGGCCTCAAACCCGTACTTGCCCACCAGAGGCGGCACCACCGTGGCCTCAGGGGGCCGATTCCGCTGTCCATCCTGTAGACATGAAGTGGTTTTGGACAGACACGGGGTATATGGACTTCAGAGGAACCTGCTGGTGGAAAATATCATTGATATCTACAAACAGGAGTCTACCAGGTAACCATGTATCTTCACTGTATCAAACCCTGGAGACTCGCTTTTGTTTGTTTGTTTGTTTTAATGGGTTACTATTCTGAATGCTTATTTATCTATCACAGACTAATTGTTTTATAAGACAATGTTTTTACAAGTCAGTCCTTCCCAAGGGTCTGGGAACTGCTTGTGAAAAGAAAGGAGGGAGCTGCTGGTGCCCATACTTGTGTGTCAATTTAAGAATGAAGTGACTCATTAATACTAATCCCTTCCAGATGGTGCTGTTGAAAGAGGCATCTGTCCCCCACACCCCACCTTAAAGCCTTGTGTTCTATACATTTTAGACTTTTTGCACTTTACAGGTCCAGGTTCTATAAAGCAGAAACATTCTAGTACAAAACTCACTAGAAAATGAACAGAAATGACATCTTTCAAAATAGCCTCCTTCTTAGTTCAGATAGTTTTCCCTTAAAATGATCTGCATACTAATAATACGAACAAAATCCTCGGACATGATTTGTCACTGTATTGACTCTATGGGAAGGTACAAAGCAAGGCATTGTCCCAGCCTTTAGAGAATTAAAGTTCAGACACAGGGGAGGGGAAAAAGAAGAACAATAGAGTTCAAGTTATCTTCCTTACCCCCTGGGTTGTATTTACTGCATACTCTTCACGTACACTTGCTGATTGATTGGTATGCAGGGTAAACACCCGTTTATTTTAAAAAATGTAGAATAGCATCTTACTCAGTTGAACCACCTTAGCTGTAGAGTTCCTTTCCTAGAGTCAGCACTGCGGAAATCTGTTCCTAGAAGGCAGGATGGGACGAGCCCTTTCTCCAGGAGCACAGGTCAGCCCAGTCCATGCAGCTTGAGAACAATACCGAGACCATCTAGAAATGGGCTCTTTGAGGTTTTCATTAGGGGACACGTATTTATGGAACATCTGCAGGGCTAAGGGCCGCTGTGCTCTCAGAAGAAAAGCAGTTCTATAAATCTAGCATACAATTATTGTAATTATTATGGCTATTGGCTCCTACTTAAGATCCAAAACTAAATTAGATAGTACAAGGCTATAGATGGGATTGGGGAAAACAAAGAATCGCTGATAACAATTGCAGATTGCAGTTGGCTGTTTACTCTGCTTCCAAAGTCTCACAACAAAAATGAAAGTACTGTTGTTACCTCACAGATCTGATTTCATTGCATATCACTTCTTTAAAATGAAACATACACACACACAAATACATGACACCTTAAAAAAAAAAAAAAAAAGAACCAGCTACTTAATAACTACCCAATTAGTAAGGGAGTTTATATAACAACAATGTCAGTGTCTAGTACAGCGTCTTGCACAGAATAGTTACTCGGTAAGTGCCAGCTAACTAAGCAACACCACAAATATTCTTACGTGTCTGTTTTTTGCAATAATTTTCTGTCTTGCCGCTTGCCACAGTGGGAACTTGGGAACTTGCAATGTGAAATAAATAGCAATGCTTGCTGTCAAATCCAGAAGAGATGCTAAAACTTGTACCATTAGTAAAGCTACAAGAAGCATCCTTACTTTAACTATGAAGTCTGTTTGGTGCAGCTGCCAAAAATAGTACTGGGGCAGGGAAGCAAATTGCATAAAAGGCAGTGAGCCAACTTTCCAACAACAAAGCTCATAGCTCACTCTCATTTTAAAGAATTTAAGCAAGAAACATAAAAACCTGTATTTATTAGCTCGTGTTTGGTTAAGTGACCATCAGTCCAATTTTTAGATATGAGTAAAAACTGAGACCCATAAAGTCTAAGGATCTTGCCTAAGGTCACAAGGTCACCAAACACTAAGGGTGTTTGTCAACTTCTTATGTCATTGTTTCTTAAGTTTGATGCTTGCCTTTAAAAAATTTTTACCTGGTAGCAAAACTACAAGTTGCCCAGAGGCCTTGGCCATATTGTTGGGCCTAAACCCAGTTGTTCCATGCAGCTGGCAGCCTTTCCAGACCAGAACCCTGAACCTTAGGTTACTAGCTGACTCTGGAATAACCTTAGCTATACAGACTGAGATGACCTCAGTTCTGGTCATTGGAGATGGCAGAAGAAAGAGAAAGTGGTGTCAATAATTCACGATGAGGTACTAATGAACTCTGGTGTCCCACAGAAAGGCTGCAGACTGAAGTCTCATCAAATCTGGTCTTCTTATCTAGAATTTTACCCTTTGCTGAGCTAGTCACAGGATAGGAAAGTGGAAAGAGAAGGTGCTACCTCGGTTGATATAATGAACATAATAGTAGTTAACTTTAATTTAAAATAAAATAAGTAAAAACCATTAGGTATTGTGCATCAGACACTGTTCAGGATGCTTTATACATAAATCATCCTTAATTCCTTAATTTTTACAACAATCTTGTAAAGTGATGATCATTATTATCCCCTGTTAAAAGTTCTTAGTGTTTTGTTGTTTTATTTTGTTTTAATTTTCCAGAGGACTCATGCACTCACCTGAGACAGCGAGGGAGAGAGAAAGTGAGAAAACACCCCCTCCCCCAGGGAGTTGGTCACACCACAGTCTCTTCTCCTCTCCTTCCTTTCAGGAGTTTGGGTACACATGCATATGTGCCTGGTGTGCTTCTCAAGTTGCTGGTATGGTACTCAAGTCACCAAACTGACCATGTGAGATCAGCCACCTTAACCATATGCCATGGGCTGGCCGGGGTTTTTCATGTTTTAATCAAAATAATTCACACGCATAATTTTAAAATACAAGCAGTACTGTAAGAACTCTAACGAGAAGTGTAGTCCCTGCCCACTACTGTCTTTACTCCCCAAATAGCACATCCCAGAGTCAGCCACTTTGAATTCTTTTAGTTCTTTTTCTGTTATTTATCACCGATGACATCTGTAAACACTTGGCATTCCTATTTCTTATTTTTTCCCATTTTCAACATTATTTGTTGACTTTCCCCATAGATAGTTAATACTGAGCCCTCATGTGCTGGGCTCTACCTTCTACTTGGAAATTTCCCTTCCTGTCCCTTGGATTGAATTTCCTATTTCCCGGACCTCATGTCTTCCTTGTTGACTTGCTGTCTTGTTTTTGTGGAGCATGTCCTCAAGTAATCTCCTTAAATATGTACAAAGTCCTCCTCCTTTCAACCTCCCCCACACTCCTGCCTTCAGGATATCTGGCCTCTGCAGTTCCAGAAACTTCCAAGGGTTCCACAGCTCAAGTTAGCCTGCTCCTTGTAGGTTCCTCCCCTGGAGGCACTAAGCAGAGCTAAGCTGAAGGCTCACAGAGGTCACTTCTTTTCATTCCAGTGCCTACAATTTCCAACATTCGTTTGACATCTCTCATTTGCTGTTATCTTCCTCACTTTGTCCTTGTTGCTACATACATTTTACCTCCTTACTCTCTTTTTAAAGAATTTCAGTAGGAAACATAAATAAATAAACATTGTATTTATTTACTCATATTTAAATGACCATTAGTACACAATAAAACACGTAAAATACTTTTTTTGTTTGTTTGTTTTTGGAGAGGTTTCTGCTACAGGGCAATCCCTTTTCCTCCATTCTCCTCTTGGGATCTTGGGGATGCACGCACATGCACCCAGTGTGAGTTTAAGCCACCGGGTCCAGGACTTGAACCACGATCAACTACATGGGAGTCCAGCAACATAGTCATTATGCTAATTGCTGGTCCCCAGTAAAACACTATTTTGAAAAAGTAAGTGAGTAGCTAATAGAAAATGTACATGCAGACTTTCATGGCAGGCCTCAAAATCTTTTTAGAATTCAAGCCTTCATGACATGAAATTTATATTCATTATCAATTTATTTTTTAGATAGAGTGAAAACTGAGACCCAAAAAACTAAGTAACTTGCCTAAGGTCACACAGTCATCACATGGAGAAGCTGAACTGGAATTCAGCTTGATGATCAGTTCGACTACAAAGGCGTTGCTTGAATTGCCTTGCTAAGACCAGATGCAAACTCTAGGGTGGCCCCAGGGACCCCAGAGACCAGAGAGCAAACTGTGGACCCCTTCAGTCTAACCTATTCTAAGCAGCTTGCAGTCAAGGCCAATACATGGCACTGACCCCTTGAATCACACATGTGAGTAGAGCCACTTTCACCTTATAAAAATGTTATATATTGGGGCCGGCAGGTGGAGTAGTGATTGATTAAGGGTGCTGGACTCCCACATGGCCGACTGTGGTTTGAGTCCTGGCCTGGCAGGTTGCTTTCTCACTTTCCCTTTCTCTCTTGCTTTCGCTCCCTCTGGCTCTGTCCCTCTCTGGTCAAATTTAAATAAATAAATAAATAACGTTGAATAAAATAATTTTTTTAAAAATGTAATTTATTCAAGGCCAGCAGATGGCATAATGGTTACGTCACTGAACTCCCACATGGCTGATCGCGGTACGAGTCCCAGACCTGATGACTTAAAACTCATGCCGGGCACATGGGCGTGTGTGCTCTAATTGCAGCATGGCTGTCCCCGCTGGAGGGTGATTTCTCACTTTCTGTCTCTCTGTGAGCGCTCATGCCCTATAGCAAAAATCTCTCTTAAACATTTTTTTAATGTAATATATTCATGTCATTGTTCTATAAGGTATATTTGTCCCAAGTCTGTCTTAAGTTGTCCAGAGTTTTTCATTTTACACCCACCTACAAATCCATGTATGGTGGAGGAGCCCTCTGGGTCTGTGTTGCCACCTAAACTAGAAAAATCCAATAAAGAATATGGGAAGTTCTCAGGATATATTGCATTATTAAAAAATGCATTGGGTCATGAACAAAATTAAGCATACAGCCTATTGTTATTTCCGTGTTTCAATATTTGCATATACTGCATATGCCACCATTTCTGGTCATAGCTGTTAACATCAGAACAGGTCATGGGGATGCCACCAGCCACAGGGAATGCCTGTGGACGTGAGCCACAGTAGCAAGGCCTGTACCATCCGCAGTAGTTGTGCTCCATGTTTAGTACAAGGTGGAAACACATAGGAGGGAAAGCCTCAGAGACAGGGAAGGCTTTGACTGGGCAGAGACCGACTCACCAGTCCTAATCTCTGGACAGCCCCAAAGAGCTTTGTGACTTATTGGAGTGTTCAGGATGTTGTCTGGCCTCCTCCTTCGCCACTCATGAGTGCCAAGTGATGCTGGGCTTTCCCATCTTTCCCATCCCTTCTCCAGTTGCATAGTGTCACATTAGAGCACAGAGAATACTGCTCCTTAATTGAGCAAATTCCATTTCATTCCTCACTCGTTTATTCACAAATATTTACTGAGCTTTCCTCTGTGCCAGGCACTGTTCTGGGTACTCTGGATCCAGCAGAAAAGAAGACAGAGCATGGCTCCTACCCTCCTGGGACACACATTATGGTGGGAGATACAGACACATCTGGGAGGGGGGCATCGTAGCTTCAGTTGTGGAGTTTACTTTTCTCATTTGGGTCCCAAGAATATGGCAGAAATCAAGTCAGGAGGTCATAGATATTATGGACAGAGACATATTGCTACAAGACCAAGCAGAAATTCCTTTTGGAAAAATTAGATTTCAGAATCTTGAAACTAGAAGTCCATGCAGTTTCCTTACCAGACTCAGGGCTTCTTCCAATGTTTAACCCAGTCTCAAATATCTGAGTTCTACCTGGGGCCATAAAGGTCCATCAGCATGTTCTCTGCCTTTCTCTGAGTTCTGGCACTGCAGCTACATGATATCACACAGCAATATCAATGGCGTTAGAACATTTTTATTTACAATTCACAGTAGGAAGTGTATTTTGCTTTGTGATCCAGTGACCATTTTCATATATGGATATATACTACTAGGGAAAAAAACAAACCAAAAAAAGCTGTAAGTCTAAGATGCTCCAAAATAACCTTATGTTTGGAAATACAAATAAAGTCTTTGAATTTGGATTTGGATTTTCTAAATATTTCTCATAACTAGTAGCAGCCTCAGTCTTTTTTCTTTTTTTTCCTTTCTTTTTATTTATAATAATAATTATTATTATTATTTACTTTCTTTTTTGAGAGGTTTTTGCTATAGGGCACATGTGCTCACCAGAGAGACAGAGAGAGACAGAGAGACAGAAAGTGAGAAATCACGCCCCAGGGGGGATGGCCACGCCATGATCCCTTCTCCTCCATTCTCCTCTCGGGATCTTGGGCACGCACGCACACGCGCCCAGCGTGAGTTTAAGCCATCGGGTCCGGGACTCAAACTGTGGTCGACTACATGGGAGTCCAGAGACATAGCTATTATGCCAACTGCTGGTCCCACTTTATTTATTTCTTTTATGAGTGAGAAAGAGAGACAATACCCTTCACAGGGTCTCTAAATGCCACAATCCACCCCAGCCCCCAGTCAGGCCCAGAAAACCAGCCAGCGTACCGTGTGTGCTTACGAAGTTCCCCAGACTCGTGTCTGCACTGCAGCCTTCCCGTGGAGCCATGTGGGACTGCTTCTCAGAGAGCTGTGTTTTACTACTGTGCCATTGTCTTCTTCCAGCCTGCCTTCAGCTGGGAAATATCAGATTCTTGATCTGATTATTTTACATTATATGCATGCTTTCAAACACCATTTGTAGCCCACAAAGATACATACTGATTATATGTACACTAGAAATCATGTTTAAAAAGAAAAGAAATACTAATTGAAATTTAAAAAGAAAAAAAACATAACAGAATTCCTGACTTTTACATGAAGAAGCTGCATCCTCACTCCAAGCCAGCACCTGTATTAATAATCAGAGAAGACTTTAGCCCCTCCTTGGGACAAGGTGTTTGCCCAAGTCAGGGGCTGGAGGAGTGGGATTGAGCTCTTCTGCAAAACTGGAACAAATTTGAAATTTAGTTTAGCAGCAACTTTTTAAAAAATTATTTATTTTATTTTATTTATTTATTCTAATTTGATCAGAGAGAGACAGAGTGAGAGGTGGGGGGGAGAGAGAGAGAGAGAAAGAGAGAGAGCAAGCCACCATGTCTGGAACTCCAACCGCAGTTGGCCATGTGGAAGTTCAGCGTTCTTAACCACCACGCCACCTGCCGGCCCCAAGCAGCAACTTCTTTTCCCATAATGGGAACGTGTCTCTTGAAAAACTTGTGATCACATAGACATGGTGCTAGAGCACATTCAACTTCCCACCAGAGCCCAGTGTTCATCTTCCAAGAATTCCCCTGGCAGTGTTTTTGTTAGTTCACTTTTTTTTATTTGTTTATTTGTTTTACTATATAGGGTGTATGTGCTTACCAGGGAGAGACAGAGACACACACATACAGAGAGAGAGAGAGAGAGGGAAGGGAAAAATCACTACCAGTGGGGATGGTCATGACATAATCCCTTCTCCCCCATTCTCCTCTCAAGATTTTGGGCACTCACACACATGCACCTGGTGTGATTTTCAAGCCACTGGGTTGGGGACTCAAACAGTAGAGTTGGCTATATGGGATCCAGCCACCATAACCTCCACATCACCTGCTGGCCCCATGGCCAGTTTTTAAGCCTTGAATAACTTGAAATTGTCTGTGTTGAAAATACTCAAACCTTGGAAACTGGAAAATGTTACACATTACAGTCTATCTCCATCCCATCCCAAGCAAGTTATTAGAGATTTGTCAGCAATCTGCAGCTAAGCCCATAGGGAAGCTGAATTTGGTGGGCTTTGAGCACACAAAAGGGACCCTAGGAATCTTCTGGACAAGAGTTTCTAGGGGTACAGGAACAAGGTGGGGTTTGCAAGACAGACCTCCGATGTCCTCTCTACCACAATGGGAGTTGGACATCTACCTGCCTGCCTCCTGCTAGGCCAGAGAAGAAGTCTGACCAGCCCATGTGCGAGGAGCACGAAGAGGAACGCATCAACATCTACTGCCTCAACTGCGAAGTGCCCACCTGCTCCCTGTGCAAGGTGTTTGGTGCACACAAAGACTGCCAGGTGGCTCCCCTCACACACGTGTTCCAAAGGCAGAAGGTAAGGGAGTTGCTGAGCTCTGGCCCCTCTTCTGCAATGCCCTTCCAGTGCCATGTGGAGGGAGCTCAAATCACATGGGGCCATAGGACACAGGCCGGAAGCAATGCTGTGCAATTGGTGCACACGTGGCCACACGCTAGATTCCTCGAAGGGTGGCAGGGACGCAGGATTCAGAAGGGATACAGAAGGATGGAGGGTCAATGTTTTTGCACCCATTGGAAGTGTCTGAAGATAAGCAGGGTTAAGGGACCCAGCCCAAGCTCAAACTGCTCAAGATTATTTAGCATTTAGATTACAGATAGGAAGAGGATAGCTTTTCACTGCAGTCAGATACTTGTGTTCGTTCACCCATGACAGGTTCTTTTTGTCCCTCCCTCCCCCCGCAAGGTCTTTCTCACCCATACTTGGGGAGAGTTGCTGTAATGACTTGTAGTAACAGGAAAACTTCAAATAACCTGGTGTTAGTCCCTTAGGCCCGCCCCTCAGCCACAGCCGTCTTGGTCTGACCAAATACAGCATCTCTATCTGCTCAACTGGCTTGTTTTTTGTTTTGTTTTTTTTTCCTTTGAGGTTTTTTTCTTTTGCTATAGGGCACGTGCACTCGCCAGACAAAGAGAGACAGAGAGATAGAAAGCAAGAAGTCACCCCCCAGGGGGGATGGCCACGCCGCAATCCCTTCTCCTCCATTCTCCTCTCGGGATCTTGGGCACGCACGCACACACGCCCGGCGTGAGTTTTAAGCCACTGGGTCCAGAACACGAACTGCAGTCGACTACGTGGGAATCCAGCGACATAGCCATTACACTAACTGCTGGTCCCTTTGGCTTGGTTTTATGCATGAGGTCATAACTTAATCCCTTAGTACACACAAACATGGAGTTGAGTGCCCCAATAAATTCAGCCTCTTCAGGAACCAAGAAATGGAGTGGCTTCATATATCAGCTTCTTTCTGTGAGAATCATGGATTCTGGATCTGGTCAGGGCTTGACTGAAGATTTGGGTTGGAATCCAATTTAGAAGCCAAACTTGGGCAATATCAGTTACCACCCGTGACTCCTAACTACTAATGAAGGGGGATCTCACGTGTATGGTTGACCTTCCCTTCGCCTCTCTGCCCCCGTCCCCTCGGGCCACAGCATGTTAGAGCTGGGAGTACCTGCTTCATGCTGCTTCCCCCGGACCCCTGCAGACTCAGGTGAGATAACAGAAGGACAAGCAGGTGGGCCTCCCAGCCCACTCCTGTCTGGCCAAAGCAGCCTCACTTTTATTGTAGGATACTGTACACATTTCCACTTGAAGGGAAGGTGTCGATTTTAAAAAAATATTTTACACCCATTATTCTAGTCCAGTCTTCTCACTTTCAATGTGAGGAAATTGGGATCCAAATTGATTGTGTATTTTACCCATTATCCATCATAGAGAAGTTAAGAGAAGACTAGACCAAGCACGAAGGTCTCCTTAGTCCCCATTCAGAGGTCACTGTTGCTCCATAAGCCAGCCTTGGGCAAAGGGGTAAATAAAAACAATATTTTTTTTTTTTTTTAACCAAAAGCCAAAAGAACAAAGGCATTTCAAAAGTTGAAATGTTCTAGTTCTCCTAGAACCAGTTGCATGTAACAGTTTTAAATTTGTACTGTCTTACTATAACATGCAAGTGTCTGTGTGTACATATACTATATTATTAGCATAGCAGGCTTATGATAACTGTATATTGAATAAATGATGATTTACTATATATTTCCAAAGTAAAACTAATCCTAAGCTATGCTTAATAACTCACACTGGTTCCCTGAACTCACATATTGGTCTCCAATCCATTTATAAACAATACTTAGAATTCTTTTCTTAGAATATTCAACTCTCAGTGGCCTATAATTCAGTCTTCTTAATGTTTTTAGCAGGGAAACAGTCTCCATTAGGAATGTGTGAAAATCATGAAACCTCTTCCCACAAAAATGCAGTCATATAAAAAGTTTGATTGCAGTACCTGGAGGTTCATGAGCTTCCAAAGCTTCACTGTGACTCCTTAGAGGTTGCATGGATCCTAAGTTAAAAACCCAGGAGAATAATACTACAATTGAAAATCAGGGGTGACTAGAACCCCCACCCTCTAAGATCTTGACTTCTTCTTTTTCTTTAGTCTGAGCTCAGTGATGGCATCGCTGTCCTTGTGGGAAGCAATGATCGAGTCCAGGGAATAATCAGCCAGCTGGAGGATACCTGTAAAACTATTGAGGTAAGTCAAGAGCCTTCCAGGGAGTCAGAACCAAGACTGTAACTCCTAGGGGCTTGTAGCTTCTTGGGAGCCTAGGAATCCCCTTTCTGGTGTGTCATTCTTTCCTTGTAGAATGGCCTCCCTCCTGTCCTTCCTGACATGTCTCTAAAATACTCATCTGCTGCACAGAAAGTGGCATTACCACATGGGTCAATGAGGCAGATTTTCCCACAATCACTAGGGTTATTACATGTGTCTTCCTTGGTCAACTGCTTTTGAAAGATTAGCAATTAGGAAAATCTATTCCTGATAAAGGAATGAATATTGTTGCTAGTACGGCAAGCCTTCTTGATGGAAGTCCAAACAGTCTTAAGGAACGGTAGTTAGTGCTTAGAAAGTCATGTGCAGGACTGAGCTGCACGTACGCACACCAGTAGCAGGGCTAGAAGCGGCTAGCTGGAGAATGATCTGCCTGACCGTGGTCAGAGAAGAGTCAGTAACTGGGTGCTTATTGGAGGTCAGAGTTCTGGCTCATTTACCCTCTTCCTGGCCCAGTGCCTGGCAATAATAAACACTCAATAAAAACTTGATTAATGAATGGGTGAATGGCTGGCTCTTTAGCTCACATTTGGGTTTGACATGTAAGAAATACAGTAAATTTACTTTCTCCTTAAGATCAGATCCAAACTATACTTACTGAAGGAAGTAAATGTGGAAGCCTAAAGAGGGTTAGCTAGATGGCAGGTATTTCTTCGAAATTTGAAGGTTCACAGACTAGTTATAGCCACGCTGCACAGGGAGCAGATGCAAGGCACCGGGACTGCAGCCCGGGCTCTGGCTCTGTAACCCAAGCAGTCTGCTACCATCTTCCTGCTGTAAGCGTTCGTTTATCTTTTAGTTGGACCTCAGTGCAGAGGGTGGAGATATTACACCTCTCAGTTCATGGAACATTGTCTTCGTGGCTGTGCAGAAGGCCTTGCTTGTTATCTATTTACTTCCTTTTATTCCCCATTTCTCCCTGCTGTTCTCCTCACAGATAACCATTCTAACATGTTTGATGTTCTGTTGTCTGCATTCTTACAAAATGTGTACTGTTTTATATGCATGTCTTTTAATTGTATAAATGGCATTGTCTTGTGTTTCTCATTCTGCTTCTTACTTTTTTTTCATTAAGTATTATGTTTTTCAGATCTATTTAACTACTACCAGTACATCTAGTCCCTCAGTTTTTCTCTCAACTTATAGCACTGCTGTAGAAATTAAATAAGTAAACATAATGGGACCAGCAGATGGCATAGCAGTTACGTTACTGACTCCCACATAACTGACCATGGCTTGTGTCCTGGACCTGGTGACTTGAAAATCACACTGGGCACGCGTGCATCTGTGCCCAAGCTCTTGGGAGGAGAATGGAGGAGAAGAGATTGTAGTGTGGCCATCTTCATCTGGAAGTGATTTCGCACTTTCCCTCTCACTGTCTCTGTCTCTCTGGTGAGCACACATGCCCTAAGGCAAAAACCTCTAAAAAAAAAAATAAAGCATAAGTAAAATTCTTAACACAGTGCCTGGAATGTGACGAGTGCCCGATAATACTACTCTCCTTGTTTTATCATTAGAAAGGCAAATTCTATTAAAAGCCAAAGACCATTTCCTAGATGATGGCTTTAAGACATTAGGTATAATTATCTCATTTTACACGTACACATCTTTAAATTCAATCTCCTCTCCTCTTCACACTCATATTCCTGGGAAAAAAAATCCATGATAAATCCATTTATAGAAAGAAAGTTTTCTCTTGGTGAAGAGTCTAAAGAGATTTAAAAATGGACAATGCAAACTTTTTTCTTTGTACTTATTTACAGTAAAGGCCAAACACAACTTAATCATTAAGCCGTGAGTCAGCACTCCAGGGTGGTACCACGTTGAGTCTCCAGTGTATAAATAGGAGCATGTTGATTGTGGGCGAGTGAGGTCATCTCCAGACCCATCTCTGGTCTAGCCGAGCCCTTGTCAGAGATCTCCATTGGGAGCAACTGGCTTTCTGTGTGGGCCTGTGAGACTGGAGAAAGCAGGTGAAAAGCCCTGGGGGTCATATTTGTATCCTGAGCAAAGGCCAACGACTCAGGCACTTTTTAGCCAGCATCAGAGGACACAGAGGGAGTTGGAAGAATTTGACAACAGAATTTCACAGAAGCCAGTCTGGAGTGCAATAGGAAGTGCTGTTTTTACTTCCACTGAGACCAAGACAAAAAGCAACAGGTTTGAAGTTAATTCGGCAGATGGGATTTAACACAGACACAGAGGAGAACTTCCTGGAAGTGAAGGTCAGGGTTGTTACCCTATTCTTAATGATAATCATATTTGTCAAACATGGCACACTTTTACAAGTGTTTTCACGGGTTTCCAGAAGAGGTTGTGGAATCAGTTCCTACGAGGCCTTAAGATGAGACAGCAAATTGGCAGGAGGCTCCAAAGTGTCTGTTTCTCTCTCTCTCTCTCTTTTTTTGTTTCCTTTGAGGGGTTTTGGTATAGGGCGCATGTGCTCGCCATAAAGACAGAGAGAGACAGAGAGACAGAAAGCAAGAAATCACCCCCCAGGGAGGATAGCCATGCCGCAATCCCTTCTCCTCCATTCTCCTCTTGGGATCTTGGGCACGCACGCACACAGGCCCTGCATGAGTTTAAGCCACCGGGTCCGGGACTCTAACCATTGTTGACTACATGGGAGTCCAGTGACATAGCCATTATGCCAGCTGCTGGTCCCTGAAGTGTCTATTCCTCTTTACCTATTTTTTTCCTTTTTATAATCAAATTTTTTTTAATCTCAAAATCATTTTTTTACGTCCCATCAGTGTCCATGTTTATGTACACATAATGGCTTTCAAAGCACACATGTAGTACATGACAATCGTATCAAGGGTATTACCATATGCATCTTTTTCTATGGAGAACTTTACATTCTTTCATCTATTAAATGTTTATTTTAATTCTGGGACTTTATTTCAAGGAAATAAAATGAAAATGCATAGCAAGTATAAATTTATACTGTTTAGGACTACACATTCATATATGACAATATAGAATGCAAACTTCATATAGAACCTTATGTACATTCATTGGGGTGGGCTGGTGAGGAAGACCAAGGGCAAGGAATAGCAGAACTGCAGAGGATTTTCAGCATCTTCCTTACATATTCTTGTATTTCACATTTTTGCAAAGTGAGTCTGACATTTTTAATAACCACTAAGATAAAGAATGAATAAATGAATGTGACTTCCGTAAGCACGATTCTTTCATATCAGTTTAGGTGGCTCATCTGGTGATGTAGGGATCTCCTCAGAGCCCCGTGAATATCTCTAATTTTATGATTCCCGCTCAAAGCAATATTCTCCTTTCAAAGTGGCCCTGAGGACAGAGCACTGCCAGAGTTGGCCACCTGATGTATCTGTAAACACTGAGATGATCCCCTGTGAAGCCAGGTCCAGATCAGCGGGCAGAACTCCAGAGGCTCGGCTTCTTGCCAGTCTTCAAGGAGGAACAACATTGGGCAATCAGTACCTGGCTCTGAGTGAAATGGTCCTACCTTGAAGAACAGGTGAATTCTGTCTCAGGGATCAGGGTAGCAGAGTTCCTGTGTGTTTGTCTGCTGGAGTTGGGAGCTCCTCCCTTTCTGGCTTTGCATACCACCTGCCTGGAAAATGTTTAGAAGCCCTTAGTGGCTTCTGGTCAAGGGGTGTGGAGCTGTTGTTAAAGAATGCTCTTTTCTGATTGGTGAAGAATGCCTTTGGGATGGGAAATGGAGTAGTCCCTGGAGTGGGCACTGCCCTTCCATAATTACCTTGCCTCTCCCTGCCCTTGGGTAATGGTGTTCCTTACACATGTCTAATTTTGTCCCTCATCATGTAATGTCTTGCAGGGCTGGCCTGGGGAGGCACCTGGCCTAGAACCAGCGCTGGCGCTGTTCTGAGGTCAGGATAAATCACATCATGGACTCCTTGTTATTCTTTGAAAATATTACCTGCACCTGACATGAATTTACAGTGATGATGAAAGTGGCATTGAGAGTGACGATTGTTGCAAAAGTCCAGTCTAACCTATGTCTATAGGGAGTGTGGCATTTTTCTTTCCGGCTGGTGGTAGGTGAAGAAGCCTTGAATCTTTTTCACACTTCTGTGGAGAGTGGCTCAGCCTCAGATGGTCCCTGAGTTCTAAACTGATAGAGGGCTCCTGGGCTCTTCTGGATGAATCCATCATGGTTTGGAGCTTCACTTGTCTTTCCTGGCCTGGTGATGTTCTGGGATGGGCTGAGACTGGAATGGAAAAGTTAACTGCCTAGGGAGCTCTCGGCTTCCGGAAAAATGTGCTTGACTTTCATTTTTCATTCCTAGAAAATAAACTTTCTCTTGTATTAACCCCTGGCACTTATGGGTCACTGGATACTCAAGGGAGCAGTTATAATAAATACTGGCTCCCCCAAAGGCAAGGCAGGCCTAGAAATAATCCTGTTTCTAACATTGTCTGTGCAGGAGAAATTGCTACCATCTGAATAATAAATATTTCATATTGAGCATTTCTAATATCCGAGCAAAAACAACTTTAATAAAATCCCCCAATAATTTTGCAATGAGAACAAATCCACTGTATCTCCAAAACAATTAATTTTATTCTCAAACAGCTCTTTTTCATCTCTGAGATACTGTCCGTGTAGTTACAAATATGAAGTATGAATATAATAAGAATCATTTTAATAATCATGACAGAATTTTTAAGGTGATAAAAGATGTGCTTAGAAGAACAGATTTCAGAGTTTACATTTTGACCCTGTCATTAATTACATGTTGTTGGGCAAATCACTTAAGCTTCCTGTCCCTCAACTTCCTCACCTTTATAGGGGGGTGACAATAACTTCCTCACAGTGTGGCTGTGATGACTAAGTTGGGGTAAGAGGTGCATGCCAGGGACTCAGTGTCAGCTCATGTCAGCCTCAGCATCAGCCTGGAAAGCTCATACTTGTGCTGAGG